TTTACTTTTTTTTTATTTAAGTATACTAAGTAAGTTATTAAATTAATAATTAAATGCACATGCGCACACGTCCACACACACACGCACGTTGTATGGTTCCTAGAGAAAGAATTTTAGCATTTAAAAAAAATTTCAGTTTACTTTCAACGATTTCTACAATAAGTCATTATCTAAGATTTAAGTCGTAAGAAATTGACCAATTGAATGAGAAAAATAATTGAGTGATTGATCCATTTCTTATGGATTAAGATTTAACGCTTAAATGTCTTATTGTAAAAAGCCCATTATATTTTGAACTTAACTGCTTACAAGATGTCAGGTAGCACGTATGTCAGAAAGCGTTACATGATTTTAGTTTAAAAAGTGACAAAAACGTTATTACTGTTTAATTCAAATCATTTTATAAGTTAAAATAACGTCTATTTGACGTTACTAATGGGAGACTTTTGATCTGTGACTGATCAGGACAAAAACATGTCATTTTTAGGTTAATTTTGAGAATAAATGACGTAAAATTCGCCGTATGCTATGTCAACAAAATCGGAATGGATTCCGATCAGAATTATTCCCTAGATTTCTATTGTGTTTTCTCGGGAAAACGGAATAATTCCGATCGGAATCCATTCTAACTTTGTTCTATGATAGGTGCCATAATGACGGATATCTGCTATCTGGGTATATAACATACACTTGGCGCGAAACACTACCATGTCTCTTGACAAAGCATTACGTGAGAATATTAACACTTTTTTACTGACAAGTATCATTTTTTACTAAACAAGTTCGTAATCGCGCAGTGCGCAATATCTAGAGAATAATAATGGTATGCATGTTAATTCGATATCTATTCCATTATTATTTCTCATTGGAATATGTCCAAACAATGTTCATAAAAAGTCCATTTTACATCCTACCGAAACGTCCTAACAACGTTCATTGGACGTCTAAAGGCGATACATTGTATCTCCCCAAAGGCGACCATGTCATCAGAACATCTTTGGTCACATCATCTGGACATCATAGACATCCAAGCGAGACGTCTTATGAACGTCCGAATGACATCCATGTACTGTGGGAATTATGGGGATTATCAAAATTTATATCAAATCCTAAATATATTAAATCTTTATATATTTAATATAATGTAAATTTAGAATATAAATTTTGAAAATATAATTTGAGATATTACATCTTCACACATTCAATGTAATGCGAATTTAGAATTATTTTCTTTTTATGCAACTAATACTCATGTTCACACTTACAAATTAAAAAGATCGATTTGTCTTATATGTCACATTTAAATTAGGAAAGAAATTCCATTTTTCATTTACATGCAATAATTATGTATAAAATCCTCAATATTTTTACACGAGAAATTTCTAAAACAAATTATTGAAATTTTTACATTTAATATAATATAAAAAAAATTTTGAAAAGATTTTGATGATCGGTTATTAATCTTTTTGAATTAGGGTAAAACCACTAAATATAGATCAGGCACTAATTACGCATCACTTTTGATATTTAAATAATTATAGTATTTTTCGTTAAATGGTACATATCACAAGATTCTTTAGCATTTGTTTTATCTCTTCCAAATGTCAATTGAATTTAATTTATTAGAAACAGCGCTATACATTTTTATTATCGTTAACCAATTAAATGGCGAGATTAATTATCGTGTGTTTTTAAAAATTCATTTAAACTGTAATATCATAAGAATTGTTTTATAGCTTTTATAGTAGGCAGTATTGTATATAACATATAAGATTTCATGGAAAAATCAACATTATGCTCAGTTGAAATTAAATCCGCGGGTGTTATTTAATCACTATGTTATAACAATACTTTTATTGAGTAAATTTATTATAAAAATTTTAAAAACTTGTCAAATCTTACAAATAATGCCATCCCAAAAAGATTTATTTGTTTTAAGTATCAAAATGGAATATAAAATAGAGGAAAGCTCCCTTATATAATTATTATAAGATAGACGCTTAATATGAGATAGCGGCGTTTCTGCTAAACTAATAGACGCTATCTATTGGTTCCACCATGAATTTATTGCTCTTTGGAAAACTAACAGAAAATTCATTATTAGATCATGCCTGTAGTCATTGTAAAAAAATTTTAGAATTTGGATGTCTTCAAGTTTCATTGAGATAAGCTTTTAAATATTGTTTATTATTTAATAAAATAAATATTTGGCAATAAATTCTTCATGTAGAGTAAGGTCGTACTAATAGAAAAATATGGGATATGTTGAATTGCTTAATTACAGAAGTCAGATTTGATGATCGTAAAACCATAAAACGGCGTAGAAATCGTAATATGAAACCCAGGTTATTTCTAATATAAAATAACCTATGCTCCTAGTGAAAATCGTTGCTAAAGTATAAATGTTATTATACAATAAAAAGGACAACCGGAATGATCGTCAAGTGCCTATTTCTGCGATGTTTAAGTTTAGCTACCTGAAGACGAGTTCTGGGTACAATGAATCACATATTCATTTTTCGCTCAACCTGGCTGTGTTTGTTTGTATTTAAGAAACATTAATAAAGTTTTTTAGTTACAATACCAATATATTTTGCGTTTTACTATCGATTTCTCGGGACATCTCATATTAGGAGCATAATTTTTTAACTTTGCGATTTGCTCACTTTTTACATTTCTTTAATTTTCCAAAAAAATGGAATTTGAAAAGGGTATAGCAGGATAAGGAGGTGATTTCAGGTCCCAGCACGTAATTGATTGCTACAGGAGACAAAATTAATACACTGATGAAAGAATATTTTGTGCAAAGTTTCATCCCAAAAGAGCCACACCGTTTCGAGATATCAAAATGTAATTTTTCATTAGTATTTTTTTTCTCCGTTAAATCTAAACGGATCTTTACAAAAAAAATCATGGGTATAAAGAATATCAAAAAGATTAGAGTAAGAATTTTTTTGTCATTCTTGGCTCAAAATTCTGTTTTTAAAAAATTCAAGAATTTTTAAAATTGCATTTTTATATGATATGAATGTTTTACCACTTTTAAAATAATTCAGCAGCTAAATCTTATCATAAATTATATTCGTGATTTTTTTTCAGATTTTTAGATTTTGTGGAACATACAAAAAAAAAATGAAAACCGTTTTTTCGCCATTTTTTGACATAAAATATATTAGTTGACATATTTTAAGTAGTTCTTAAATAATTAATCTTAAGTAATTTTACTTACCTTCGCTCCCACTTCTGCAGACAATAGTTTAAAACTTTAATATTATAGAATTCGCATTAAGTTAAACAACGAGAATTCCATTTTTTCTTCTTTAGAAAAATTAACTTAACTGATTTCAGCATTTATTACATTTTTTAAAAGCGAAGACCAATTTCTAACTTTGTTAAGCACATAAACATGATAAACTTGTCTTACTCTAATGTATTAATTAACAGTAGTTGAAAAATGTATCAAAAATAGAAAAAAAACCTTTATTAATAAAAGAATAAAATATTACCTCGTAGAGATAATTAGTCTTCCATAATAAATATTGGAATAAGTGCTATAATTTGACTGACAATGAGTGTCGGTGTTAAATGAAAATCCTCAATAGAAACTGAAAAGTATAATTTGAAAAACTTAAATGACAAAATATTGTTAACTCTTGTATTTAAATAACTTTGAACACAATTGCAAGACCTTCAAGAAAACAAATAAAGTAGACTATCTCAAATGTCACGGAGACGGTTCCAGTCAATTTGCGCAGGTGACAATTGAAGGGGATTACTGTACATTCATTTACCTTATGCAGTATGCTTGATGTCACTGACAAAAAAGTATCGTAACGCGACTTATTACCATTTACGCATAATCAACTTATATTAACTTTCACGAATATTTTCGTTCGACGATTCGATGCGAACATACGACAATATAAAAAAGTTGAAGTTTTTGGTTTGAAATCGAAATGTGTCATTATATCTATTACCATTCCTACTCCTTACTTCATTATTGTTTTGTCATAGCGCGCGACAATAGTTTGAAATTGTTAAAAGTTTTTGACCTGTGTTTTTCACTATGTTTAAAAGTATTCTGTTACTAATATTATAAGGTACTATTATTCATAACTTTATTATTCATATATTATGAATAATAAACTAATATATTTTATGTCGGAAAATGGTGAAAAAACGGTTTTAATTTTTTTTTTGGTATGTTCCACCAAATTTAAAAATCTGAAAAAATCACGAATATAATTTATGATAAGATTTAGCTGCTGAATTATTTTAAAAGTGGTAAAACATTCATATCATATAAAAAATGCAATTTTCTTGAATTTTTTAAAAACAGAAGTTTGAGCCAAAAATGACAAAAAATTCTTACTCTAATCTTTTTGATATCCTTTATACCCATGATTTTTTTTTGTAAAGATCCGTTTAGATTTAACGGAGAAAAAAAATACTAATGAAAAATCACATTTTGATATCTCGAAACGGTGTGGCTTTTTTGGGATGAAACTTTGCACAAAATATTCTTTCATCAGTGTGTTAATTTTGTCCCTGTAGCAATTACGTGCTGAGGTTTAAAATCATCTCTTTATTTTGCTATACCCTTGTTACGTCCAGACTCTACAGTTCTTTTCTTCGACAAGAAACTTTCGTCATCACAAAAAATTAGTGAGCAGTAAACCACTTGAAATAGGAGCTGAGAGCAATAAATGCTCGTTTTAAACTAACAACCCATCCGGGACTGAACCGTTGGGTTAGATATTTGAACCAAGTATCAAATAGACAAACCTTATCTCGAGGATCATAAAATGAAACAAGAGCTGAGAACAATAAATGCACATTTTTTTAACTAATAAACCATTCGGGACAGAACCGTTGAGTTGATATTGGAACCAAGGGCCAGATAGGCGAAACTTAAGAACATACAGACTAGGATTGTAAAATAAAACAGCGGCTGTGAGCAATAAATGACATGTGGCTCGCATCTATTAGACACTCGAGAAATGGTCGATGACGAAAGTTATCTTAGACACATAAACAATATCCCTAATCCTGGATTGGCTCAGCAGTACACGTACTCTGCTCTTGGCGTCACTAACTCGCCATATAAAAGGAGAGGTCCTCCACGAGGAGGGTCACTTTTTCTTCGGCATTCGGCATTCGGCATTCGATATTCGATATTCGATATTCGGCATTCGGTACTCAGCAGTCACCAGTCAGTCATCAGTCAAACTCCATTTCCGAAATTGCCAGCTCGCGATACACGTTAGTTACTAATAAGAGTGACCGGAGCTCGACCGGAGCTTCCACATCCGAGTGCCAACCTCCCGTGGAGTGCTGAGGCCAACGATTTTGGCAGCTAGATCCACTCACATCCGCAGAACAATAGTAAGTCCCATCCACACACACTCACACACACACACACACGCACATATATATATGTAATTAAAAGAACCAACCACTATAATTGATACCAAATTATAGTGCCGCGCCCGAACCGTCCCTTCAAAGGGTGGCTTCGAAGCCGGGCCTACCGGGAGGCACGGAGACTCTTGGACGAAGAGTACAAGAGGTACCTCGGGCATTCATAAGGGCAGAGTCGTCCGGTCGAGGATCATTTACCACCACTACCATCCTCGCCACCACCGGCTCCGCCGGCTAATCAGGCTAAGCTTATACCTCCTCCCCCTCGAACACCTTCACCTCCTCAGCCACCTCCTTCTCCTCCCCCTCGAACTCCCTCACCAGCGTTTTCGGACGCACTTACAGAGAGAATATTTCCCGATACTCCTCCACAATCATCCGAATCATCCCACCCAATTTCCCCCAGAAGAAGTCCATCTCCGACGAACTCCACGGACAGCGTGGAGTTCCTAGAGGAAATTCTTCCACCCCCACCTAGATCCTACTTCCGGATCCTGGAGAGTGACACTTTTGAGTCACTCATCTCTCAATTCCCGCGGGTTACTACCGCATCTATCCCTCAGGGGGCCTACACAATCGGCCCTCATTATTTTGATCCCCAAGAAATCCGCAATGCCATTACTGGTCAAAGCCCTACCTCAAGTATCCCCGTATTCCTTCCAAATTCCATCCATCCAGTTCTAGTGCCTGTCAGATTTTTCAATAATCTTTTCCCCCCTTCCTCCGTTTCCATCCTTGAAATATGTTAAACCAAACCTATCCGACTCCCCTCCCCCCCTCTAACACAATGTACAGATTAAATATAATAAATGTATAGCCGTTATAGAACAGTTAATACTGTTACGCCTGTAACTGTAGCAATATACAGATTAAATATAATAAGTATTATAATTAACTGACTATCATGCAACCGCGCGTTTTTCTTATTTACAATAAATCATGTCATTAATTATTCCTCTCGCTCTCGTCATTTATTTTTAAAACCCGCCTAATAATACTACCTCGTAATCACTAAACCTTGCCCTTTCAAGGCTCGCACGTGGTCCATTCCCGAGTTAAAGGGATTTTTCCTTGACTCGAAATTCGGACCGACGATCGCACCGCCCGTAGGAAACAGGCGTCATAGCGTCTTCACGAGACGTTAACCCATATTCCGAAGCGGACAAAAAAAAAGGAGTGCGTTCGACTCGCCGGTGTTTGTTTCCAGGCAAATACCTGTGAGACTAGAGTCTGACCGTCCTTCCACGCTCCATCCTTTTCTACTCCCTTCTCTCTCTCTTTAAATCCACTTTTCCGGAGTTTGGACGTAACACCCTTTTATATAACATTATCTTAAAGCTTATTAAATTCCCTTCAAAATAATCTATTATTTTTTAAAATTCTGGCATTAGACTTCTAGCATTTACCCAAAATGAACTCGGTATCTTATAATAGAAGCCTTTCTTCTATACATGTCTATATGCAAAAAATATTACTATTCATAATTTAACTGTTTTTTATTACTGAATATTCAATTTTCATCAATTTTTTTTAATTATCATTGATTTTTAATTATCATTTATTTTAAACATAAATAAATAACATTAATTTTAAACTTGAATGTGTTAAAATTGCATCATTATCCACAATTAGAAACCTACAGATGTGAATCATCAATTATAATTTCGTTATATATATTACGATGTGTATACGCAAATTATTATCCTTATGGTATGTAATAGCACCATCAAAAAAAGGATTTGGCGAATTGAGCCTCAATTAGTACATGGTACCTAATTGTGAATAATTATCATTACTTTATTTAATTCAAATAAAAATATATAAAATGATAATAAGATGGAATAAAATAATCCATAATATAATCTTTATGATTAATCATGACTATTAAATGTTTTATTAATTCATCAATGCGAATAACGCATAAGAAGAAGCGAGATATTACACTTACTAACATTAAGAATAAGATTTTAATAATTAGATTTAAATAGTTTAAGGTTATTATTTTATTTTTATTTTTGTACTGAGGATGGTCAAATCGTGACCGAAACGTCTACTATGTAAAATGTTTATTATTGAATTATAACTTTTTGACATCTCTAGCGTGGCTGTATGCTCCTTTTTACTTAACCTTCTTAACATTGAGCCACTTTCCAATATTGAAAATTTTATTAATTGCTTAATACTGTTCTGGGTTTATAAAAAAAACATGAATTTTTTTTAAAGAGTGATCTACAACTCGTGGTTTTATCATAATATTGCATTTTAGATGATGATCTATAAAATGTACATGCAAAACATTTGAATATACCTATAAACATAATAACAAATTAAGTAGATATAAATTAAGAAAGAGCATATAATGCTAATTCTACATTAGTCACATCGCAGCGTCGCAGGTGTTGCGATTCAATCAGAATCGACCTAGCTCGATACTGATTGGACCGCAAGCTTGCGACGCTGCGTTATGACTAATGCTTACTGCACACTGGATGCGATGAGCGATAAGCGATGAGCGACGAGCGATATCCAATGAAAACTCTACTTTTTCTCACATGACGGTGCAAAGCAGAGCTTTCATTGGATATCACTCGTCGCTCATCGTTTATGATCGTTCATATGTATTGTATTTAGTAGGCATAATGTAGAACCAGCATTAAGAGTCAACACGCATATCGGTGTGAAAAAAAAGGATAAAGGATTTAATCCGAAATTGATGTGATATTAAACATATAAACATACCATAATATTCACTTTCATTCCCAATATTAAATCCTTACGCAATTTAATGTAAATTTAGGAAATAGAACTTACAAAAATATTATATCTTTACATATTTAATGTAAATGTAAATTTAGTATCTTTTATTTTTAAGCAACAGCGTTAATTTTTACACTTACTCTTTCCACACTTGCGTTAATTCTTACACTTCCTCTTTCAAATCGTATAAAATTATTTAATTTGAACAAAGTAATGAAGAAGCGGCTTCCTTATATACATGATGAGAATGTTAAGATTTGATCGAATATTTCATCAGTAATCGGATAGTTATTAAGTGATCCTGTTGGTATGTTGGAGAATAACAATGAACATTTGCCGGATACGTGTATATAGTACACTATGATAACTTTGTTGTTGATCGATTTCCGGATTTGTCTTAATACTGTCTTTTGAAGAAACAATTACAATTTCTATCATATCAGTCGCAACAATTTACAATTAGTTATTTTTGCAATTATTTTTATTTTTATAAATGTAATTCGCAATTATATTTTTTATTTTTTGTCTTTACAATTTTCTACTTATTATCCATGTAAAAATCCCTTTTCAATTTCTGCACTTCTCATTACGCTATCTGCCTTTTCTCATTTTGTTATTGTACTTATAATGACGCATCATTACTGTCCGAATACTGTTAGAGTAGCCTTTGGCCACATATAGAGTGTCCAAAAAGTTCTGAAAAGAATTTAAAAAGATCTACTTACTGATCTTATCAGTTTGACCTTGTGTGGAGTTGCCAAGATCAGATTAAAATCACATCGATTTTTTCAAATGGAATACCCTAGTTTTGATTCTAGAATCTAATAGCTGGTGTCAAGTAGTCGTGTGTTACATTTAGTAAGAAGCGGACGTGTTTTGTCTCGCTTCAGGTATTGCATTATTTTTGGAAAGCGTTGCCGGCTTCAACTGTGTCTAGTATAACTGACTAAGTGAATCTTGTTATGAGAACCAGGGCCAACTAAAAACGAAGAAGAAGAAGCAGCTGTCAAGAGTTTTCAAAACACTGTACTAAAGTTACTTTTCATTAAGTAATTTTCGAGTTATAAGGCTTGAAAGTTATAGTACCGCTGGCATTAGCAAGGTGTCCGAGCGACGGCTATAATTTCTTGAATGTTGTTCAGGTTCATGTTCTGGATAACATTTGTCCAGCCAATGGAAATTATATCTCTTAATTTCATTTATATATAAAAATTAATTTTCAGTGCAAAAATGAAAATAACAGGAATAATCTCTATCCAGTGAGGAATAACAATGGAATCGACATAGAATCGATGTCGATTTGACGTTGAAATCATCAAATTGACGTCGAATCGACGTCGATTTGACATTGATTCTATTGTCATTCTATTGTCATTTCTCATTAGATAATTAACCTTGATTTTAACAAATGTTATCCAGGACATGATCCAAAAGTAGGGTGTTCCATTTAAAAAATCAATGTAACCTTGACCTGACCTTGGCGACACCAAGATCAAACTGATAAGATAAATAAATAGATTTTTCTAAACCTTATAATATTTGTTTTCAAAATATTTTTCTCGATAACGCTTTCCTGAGTTATATGTCCGGAACTTTTTGGACATTCTATGTAAGCGCGCGGTGCGCCTGCAATCGTGTATTAATATGTACTATATAAGTATAGCGGTGACAGCCGTTCCGTCGGAGATTACCAAAACCATTCGACTAGCGCTGTCCGAAATCTCTTTCGCTCTTATTGCGAATCGGCGGAAACCGCCGAGCTTCTGGAACAATACAAGTGGAAGCAACAATTCGTACATAAACACTAAGACATCAGCAACAATTTTTATTCCATCCCGCTCCTGTTCACGTTCTGATCCTCTCCGATCCTGACAAGTCGATCCAGTAGCGAGAAAAGGTAGTAGAGCGTGGTCTGTTACCGTCGAGCATTCTCGACAGCGACCGGTTTCCTGTATCAGATTGCTGCATCGATGGGAGAAACTTTAGGACAGAGAATACTATGCCGAGCATACTATTATGAGTGATGATGTATCATAATATACGTAGACTACTGGAAAAGTTTCTGCAATCTATTACTTCCAGTAGTGCCAACGTTCTGCTACTATCATATCCGTAAAATTAGACATTTTTAATCAATAATTCAATTGACAGTTTGTATCCAAGTCAACTAGTTTTGTTTGCAAAGTATTTTAAAAGAAGTTATTTTGTAAGAAAATGGAAATTTCGCGTGAAAATTTTCAGGCAATGATTTTTTACGATTACAAATGTAATCTAACTCCGAAACAATGCATCGATCGACTTCATTTGGCTTTTGGGGATGAAGCACCATCCAATACGACTGTTTATAATTGGTTTGCCGAATTCCAGCGTGGACGTTCTTTCCTTTCTTAGTGATGAATTCCGTGAAGGTCGTCTGTTGTTGCCACTAATGTTGATGCTGTGCGTGAAATTGAACGAGACCGGCATATAACATACGGCGAGATTCAGGCATTCTTAGGCATTGACATGAAAGCAATACATACAATTTTGCATGATCACTTGAGCGTACGGAAACTTTGCAGTCATTGAAATCCACACAATTTAACCGAAGATCAAAAACAGGCTCGTGTTAAATGGAGCAAAGAAATGCTCAAGAAATTCAACCGAGGTCGATCAAATTTGATCACAACATCGTTACTGGGGACGAAACATGGATCTATTCGTATGAGTCCAAAAGTAAACAACAATCCACTGTTTGGGTATTTCAAAATGAACCGAAACCAACAAAAGTTGTTCGTTCACGCAATGCTGCCAAGCAAATGATTGCTTGTTTCTACCGGACATGTGACAATCGTGGCTTTAGAGGATCGAAGGACTATAAATACTGATTGGTATACAACAATTTGTTTGCCAGAAGTCATAAATGAATTGCGTAGAACAAACCGAAATGGTCGCATCATCCTTCATCATGACAACGCCAGCTGTCACACAGCACGTCAAACCGTTGATTTTTTATCCAGTAATAATGTCGAATTGATGACTCATTGTCCGTATTCACTTGATTTATCACCTAATGACTTCTTTTTGTTCCCAAACATTAAACATAAGATGCGTAGTGAGCGATTTGAGTCGCCTGAAGCAGCTGTTGAAACATTTCGTACACTGATTTCTGAGGTTACAACCTTAGAGTGGAAAAAATGCTTCGAAAATTGATTCGAGCGTATGCAAAAATGTATCGATCTTAAAGGCGAATACTTCGAAAAACAATAAAGCCATTTACCGAATTTTACATGTTTTTTTTCATATTGTTTGCAGAAACTTTTCCAGCAGCCTACGTATATGAAGTAATAAAAATAGGGTCAAACATAGTCTTTTGACCAGACTTCTTCAATTATTCACGATACAAGCAAGCATTCATTTCCTGTTCGGATGCGTTGGTGAGTGAGCACTTGGCTTTTTATCTGCGGCGTGTTTTGATTTTAAGTTTTAAAGTTTTTTAGTTTACTTGTCTTTTATGAGTTCCCTTCCTTTTCCGTTTTTCAGTCAGCACTTGACTATGTTTCTTAACATCGGTTTGATTGCCCTATCGCACATACAACATTAAGCTACGTCGAGATCCATCACATTTGCTGATTTCCGCGCGTTAAAAATGTTGCGTCACTGAATGTTATCGATTTATTATTATCTTTCTCTGTTGTATTCTTTTATGTTCTTTTTACAAGTATATCTTTTATATTATATTCTTTTTACATCTGAGGAGGGCTCAATCCAGCAGCCGAAACTTTGTTTGTTTTATATTTTAATATACGCCGTTGTACTTTTTATTTTATTTTATGTATCTTTGACTGTTATCTTTAATTATATATATTATGCGACGACTCTTTTTCGCCATTTATTTTGTTTATTTTGTTGATACAAGCAAGCTTATAAACTGTAAACTAAGTCAGAGGTGTGTTACTAGAAGTTAATGAGACCAGACTAACTTAATCAGAATTAAAGGGATCTTTACTACGATAAAAGAGATGA